CTCACTTCATGCCCCACCTCCTACAGTGCTTGGCACAGTGTCTGATGTCTCACAGTTGTGGTGAAAAATGAAAAAATTGATGATGATCAGGATGAGTAGTCCAGATCCTTAACTCCTCAACTACTCATCCCCTCTCATTGGTCTCCTGATATTGGAATCAGGGCTCTTATAAAACCTAACGCATGTATAAATTAGCATTTATCTTACTTGGGTCCTTTGCAACTATTCCCTTTACTCCAAAACACTTTTAGAGCAAATCTTTTTCCATTTATTTTCTAGTTCCCACCATTGCATTATCCATAGTGCCTAATTATTTAGGAACAGAGCCAAAGAGCTGGGTTAAGAGGGGATGTAATTATAGATCATCTCGTTCCATGTCTTCATTGTGTAAAAGAGAAAACCAGGACCCAGATGGGGGAGATGGCTTGCTCAGAATCACACTAGTTAAAACATGGCCAATTTACTCATTCTGTGCCCAGACTGTATGAGAGCATTAGGAAAGCAGAATATCTTTGTGTTTTATTTTAAATATGTTTTGTGTTCTGAATGATATGCCTGTGGACCCTAATTATTCTAAACCTCTCCCTATTTCTGAATGCTCAGTTTCTTCTCAGCGCTCCAACCAGTAAAGAACATGAGAGTAAAAGTGCCTGAGTGAGAATGTCTTACCCAGAGCTCAGTGGTGGTGAGGGCTCTGCAGGGTTTATGCTGGGGAGTCCAATCACCCCTCAGAGTCTGGAGCTGGGAGAGTTTCCTGCTCACTTCTTTCCTCTCATTTATGGTCACAGCAGGCACTCCTGGGGCTGGAAGGGAGTGCAACACGTTGACGGCGCCCTGTGGGAGTCAGTCACACCATGAGAGCCTCCTCTCCCATGGCCTGTGTCCTTGTTAGGTCCTCACAGAGACAGAAGCCCCCGGGCCTTTGGAGCAGCCCTCCTGGGGTTGCCAAAGTGCTCTCTCAGGGAGGGCACCAAGACACAGGAAGTTCATCAGCCAGTGGTCCTTTGTCACCTGGGAGTTCACTTCAATGATAGTAACTACCTGCCCAGGTTGAGATAGACCATCTCTCAGGGCGATGATTTTTTTTCTTCACAATACAGTAATTGGGGTGGGAGACCAAGTTTCAAATGGGTTCCTCTGTTATGGGACCTGCGAGAGAGAAAGCATATACCTTCCAATGATAATAGGATCTTTCTAAAACGTGACCGGCCCTCTTGGACCCTGAGTGAGAACAGGGACAGGCCAGGGACACAGCACTGTTAATACAGACTCCTGATCCCACCTATTGCTCCGACCTACAGCAGTTTTATCTTCTTTCTCACACACGAGCTGCCCCTTTACTCTCCTGTTACCTTGCCTTGGAAAGAACTCTGTCTCAGGATTTTGGATTTAACTCTCCGTTGTTCTCCAGCCATTTGGGTGACACTGGCTGCCCAACGGGGTGTTTCATTTCCTGGATCCCATATGGACGGGATACTACTGGCCTCATATGACTCCTCACACTCACTGATGTGAGCATGATCAAAAGACAGACAGTAACCAGTGGAGGGAAGGGTCCAAAAACAGGACCCCAGTACTGCTCAGGAGGATACAAAATGGTGCGGTCACTTTGGAAATCAGTTTAACAGTTTCTCAAAAGTTTAAACATACCATCACCAGATGACCCAGCAACTCCACTCCTAGGTATATCTACCCAGGAGAATGGAAGAACTCATACATGGAAGCACTGTTCTCAATAGTCAAAAAGTGGAAATGACCTAAATGTCCATCAAATAATGGATGGATAAATAGAATATGGTATATCCAAAAATGGAATACTATTTAGCATTAAATGTGAACATTTAACACAAGCATTGATGTGGTTGGATTAAAATCTATGTTATGGTATGAATGAACTTTGAACTCATGCTAACTGACAGAAGCTAGTTGAAGAAAACCCACATATTGTATGATTCCATTATGCAACGACCAGACTAGGCAGATGCTAAGGGTAAGGGATTGGGGAAGGATGGGGTGATACAAATATTCTAAAAGTAGATTGTGATGATAGTTGCACAAATACAAAAAAGTAATTGAATTGCACAGTTTAATAGGTGAACTGTATGGCACGCAAGTTATGTCACAATAAAAAAATAAACATTTTTAAAGAGGTGAGACAAAGACATTTTCAGGAAAAGAGTGAAAGAAATCATTGTCAGTAGACATGCATTACAAAAAATGTCGAAGAAAATTCTTCAGGCAGAGGGAAATAATACTAGATAGAAATTCCAAACTACACAAAGAAATGAAGAGCGCAAGAAATGGTGGAAGGTAAATAAATAACATCAAATTGTGGTATATTCTACAACAGCCATAAGAGGAAAAGAACTGCAATGAAATGACATAGAGGTAAAGCTCATAAACATAGTGTTGAGTGAAAGAAAGCAGAAACAAGAATGTAAACTGTATGAACAAATTTATATAAAATACCAAAACACGTAAAATCCACCTACAGTGTTAGATGTCGGGTAACTGGTCACACGTGGGGCGGGAGAGGAGTTGTGTTGGATGTAAGGGAGCGTGGGGGAAATTTTGGAGATGTTTCCACTGTCCTGTTCTGAATGCTCCTTACATAAAGATTTAATCTGTGAAAGTTCACTGAGTTGCACATTACTGAGTGTTCTGTATGGATATTTCAATACCTTTTAAGATCCAGAGTCACCCTCTAGCTTATACTTTTCCATTTCTTTGCTAAATTGTATGTTCTGTATAATAAAAGGTTATGGTTCCAAACACAGTAGCTGCACAAAGTGCATAATTTACTTAGAGTGAAGTAGAATAAAACAAATCAGATAGGGGGTGTAAAACAAACTAGGAAACAAGCCAAAAGACAGGTGAGTGCTCCCTTCTATAATTTCTGAAGGCTTTGCTTTCTGTTTTCCATGGAAATTCCCATTCTGCTATATTTAAACTAAGCATGGAGGAGAGGGAGGGAAGAGGAGGAATGTGTTGTCTTTCTCAGAGTAGAGAATAGGAAGGGATAGTGTGAAAGCTTTCTGCTCTCCATATATGTCTAAGGACCATATGGAGAAATAATAGTTGTAACATACAATAATATAGAGAGAAAAATGGATGCAGAAATGGCTAAGGAGAGAAATTAAAATATAGGTAAAGAAATAGTGAAGCAGTCTCATCCATAAAGAAGGATCATGATTTCTTCCCTCTTTGTTCTGCAGAAGTTGTATGTTTATATGTTTGCATATTGTGCATCTATATATATACATATATAAGTACATACACACATAAATATGGAACTTTTATAACTTCATATCCATATCTGTACACAAGAAAAATCGTTTCAATGTTCAATTAATGTGCATGGCTAAGAAAAGTCTTATGTTTGAAGTAATTGCTTGAATACTTAGAAAATCTAATAAATGTATTTTAAGATAAAATTCTTAATCTTAATTTTAAGATAAAAGTCTTATTCCAAAAAGAGTCTGGGAAACTTGTGACTCAGAAAAAACTCTCATTTTCTGACAAATGGCTAGTCTTGGAATTCAAGACCCCAAAAGACATCTTTTGATGTAAAAGAAAGTCAAGGGTTAAATGGGGTCTTAGAACCATATAATGTTAGCGGTGAACATCACCTAAAGACAGCTTACCTGCCCACCACAGTTTGTGGATAAAGAAACAGAGATCCAGGAAAGATAACTGAGAGAGAGTAGCACAGAGTTAGGGATTAGTGAGGGTTGTCGGTATTATCCAGAGATTTAAATGGCAGAGGTAGGACAAGTTGAAGCTGGTTGTATAGGAGACAGGGGCATGTTCAACTGGAGTGGATCAAGGCACTGTAAAAAAGAGTGGGTTCCAGTAGTGATTAGAGTACGGACCAGAATGTGTTAGTGAGAGGAGTGGGTCAGATTCATTATATTTTTCATTCTTGACATTTTTACTGATACTCAGCAAGTTTAGACACTTGTTAGATTCTGGACATACAGCAAGTAACAAAACTGACATGATTTCAGACCAAATGCAGTTTATAGACTTGTAAGAAAGAACAACAAATTATATCTATACTGATACCAGTATCTATCTACATATATACATATAAGTTGTGATACATATTTGGAAGGAAACAAACATAATTTTAAAAAGAGAAAAAAATGAGTAACATATATTAGGTAACATACATTAGGTGATCACATATATTATCCCCTCGAAGATAATGTCACTTGAATGTGACATTTGAACAAACACTCACACAACGAGAAGTGAACCAAATGAAGTGTTGGGGGGAAACAGTGCGAAGTTCTTGGAGCCATACAAATCTTAATGTATTTGAAGAACTCAAAGAGTTCTGGCCTAGGTAGGAAATTTAAAGCTGTAAGAATAACTCAAGCATCTAGTAAGACAGGACAAAAAAGATAGAAAGATGGATTCAAGGAATAAGGAGAAAATGAAAAGATAATGATGCAATTGAAGCTAAGAGACAAACGTTTTTAAGAAGTAAGAACCGGTCACGTGTATCAAGAGTTCAAGAAAGAGGAAAGACAAGGAGGGTCTAATGGATTCAGCATGGAGGTCATTAATGATCTTGGCAAAGTATTGTTCGGAAGGCTGAGCCAAAGCCAGATTGCAATGGGATGTAAAGTGGGTAGGAAGTGAAGAAGAGGAGGTAGATTGTGTCATTAATCACATTGTGAAGTTTAATTGGAAATGAGAGCAGAGAGAAATGCACTTCTAGCTGGCTTAGAATGTATGCCAAGGAGATATGTGTGCTTATTAAGAAGGGAGATTCTAAAGTATTCTTAAGTGCTGAAAGCATGGATCAAGCACAAAATGGAAAACCATAAAGATGTAGCAAATTAAAGAAAAACGTAAATTATGTCTTTGAGAAGGCAAGAGGAGATGAGATCCGTAGAGGTGTGATAATGGGAAGATTATTCAAGGTCAGGACAAAGGTGCATGGAACTTTTCTGAGGTCAACATTGAAGTGGAAGAAGGACCTTGGTAGAGAGTCAGTGGTGAGTAGGACTAGCTCTCCCCCCTTTCCGGAAGACGGTCCTCTTGATGGCCTTAATGAGTTCCTTGTTACGAAGACTGTAGATAATTGGGTTGACCATTGACCAGTGGTGTCAGCACAGAGTAGACTACAGCAAGTGACGGGTCAAGTGTCAGAGAGTAGCTCTTCTTTAGGCGCACATACATGAAGATGATGCTGCCAAAAAAGATGAGAACCACAGTGAGATGTGAGGCACAGGTGGAGAAGGCCTTCTTTCTCCCCGCTGCTGTTTTTATCTTCAGTACGGCACCAATGATTCTTCCGTAAGAAACCATAATAAAGAGGAAGGTGATAAGAATGATGAAGGCATTGATGGCAAAGTCAACGAGGACATTAGTGGTTGTGTCCTTGCAGGCCAGGCTCAGCAGAGGTGGAAAGTCACAGAAGATGTGTTGAATTTCATTATAGCCACAGAAGGGGAGCTGGGAGACCAGGATGACTTCAGAAATGGGACGCAGGAAGCCACAAGTCCAACAGGCAGCAGCCATCTTGCCACAGAGTGTTGGGGTCATAACTGCAGGGTAGTGGAGGGGCCGGCAGATGGCCAGGTATCGGTCATAGGCCATGGCTGTAAGAAGGTAGCATTCAGAGGCCCCTAGGGAGTGGAAGAAGTAGGTCTGAAGGAGGCATCCTGCAAAGGAAATGGTCTTCTTCTCGCTGAGAAGATTGGCCAGCATCTTGGGGATGGTGGTGGCTGTATACCACAGCTCCAGGAAGGAGAGTATACTGACAAAGTGGTACATGGGTGTGCGCAGGGCTGCATCCAGTCGTATAACTAAGAAGATGAGCATGTTGCCACAGATGGTGAACAGGTATGCCAACAGCAGCAGGACAAAAAGCCAGCTCCTGATGTGGCCCACTTTGGGGAAACCAAGGAGTACAAACTCAGCTAAGCTCGAGTGGTTGTGCGGTTCCATGGGAGGCTGAGGTGGGGGAGGGAAGGAGACAAAACTGGGTGGAGGTGACTGCCTAACCCAACTCAAAACCTCATTTCTCTTTATTGTTTTTTTTTAATAAAGGCAGCATTTTATTACTATTACTGCTGCTACTGGGGATACTGCTCTAAAGATAACAACTGCTAATGCTCACGACACATCAAGCATTTTTACAAGTGTTTTGTATTTTACTTAATTTTCACACAAGCAATGAGTACCATTGTTATACCCATTTTACAGATGGGAAAGGTCAAGAACGGAGAGAATGGTGAGATGATGACACTCTTCTTTTTCTTTTTTTTTT